GAGCGGCCCGGGAGGGGGTTCGGGGCTTGGGGAAGAGGAGCAGGAGTGGCCCAGGGTGGGATCGGGGAAGGAGTCAGGAGGCGTTTAGGGTTGGGGGCACCAGAGAGTTGGGGGCGCCGAAGCAGCCTGGCTTCAGGGCCTCGCTGTGTGCCTCTGCCTTTTGGAGCTGGTTTAGTTATTTATTTCAGGCACTGAGAGATGAGAAAAATCTGTGCCACCGTCGGTGAACGATGTGTGGATCCCTTTCCTCACCACTGCTGCGGAACGTTCCTAGCAATAGTAGGGTCGCAGAGGGGTGTGTGTGCGCCGAGTGTGTTAGCTTAACAGCGCCCACAGTAAAGTAGAGCGCTTTTGTGGATGTCTGCGTTTAGGTTTTGGCATTAGTGGTTGACGTAGTGAGCGGTGATCGGAGGCTGTTGTAGATCAGGCAAGCAAAGTATGAAGAAAGAAGCAATATTTCATGTTAATCGAGGGAAGTGCTTCAGGGTGACCACAGTTGCTAGCTGTTGTGTGCTTGGAAGGTCTTATCAAACACATTTCCACATAGGTGCCCCAAAGAAGCTTACAAAATACTCTGTACAAAGGTGATTTCTCCCATCTCCTTCATTTAGTGTAAAATGACACGTTTTGTATGGTTTGTTTAAACAACTTTCCAGTGTTCCAACCTGGGCCTTGTTGTGCACTTCTGAAGCGAAGCTTTACGCTAGCGAGTACCGTGGCCTTACATGATGAAGAATGTGGGTTTTTTTAAAGCGCTGGTGAACACATTGTACTTTCACGCCTGCTTATACTTATGTGCTGTGAAGTCACTCTATATTGCTGATTTTCAGAGGTGCTTCCAACTTGTCCCCTTTGCATGGCAATGTAGCCATCTCTCTGAAAGGATGTAGCTGAATTCACCAACTCAAGTAAGGAAGTTTGAGCCATTTTTGCCCAAGTATGCAAAACTGTAAACTGTTAACAGTTTTCCTCTCTTTTAGGGAAATAAGAAATATTTCAAACGCAGTGAGCTAGCTAAAAAAGAAGAGGAGGCCTACTTTCAGAGATGTGGCTACAAGGTATGGTAGTTGTTCTTCCAGGAATTTGTATGTTTACTTTGAAGTCTACACTTTATTATCAACAGTATAAATGTTGTTAATGATAATTGTTGTTCTTTGTTCAATCTGTTAATGTTATACATTAGCCTGTAAATGAGAAGCCACCTGGAGAGGTATGAGTTTCCAAAACCATTTTCAATGCAGGAAAAGACATGCATGATATACAGCTACTTAAGTTTGTGTTATGGTTTGGCTTTTGTTTATTTTATTTATTTTTTGTGTGGAAAGCATGAAGTGGCTTGGGATCAAAGCTTGTCTTCCTTTCTTTTTAAATTGTGCTGTTAGGCATGAACACTGGATCTGATATAGCCACCTTCCCCCCCCCTCATTGGAAAAAAATGGATACGTTTGGATAATTTTATCCATTCAGATAATTTTCACGGTCTTGTCAAAATGTCCAAAAGAAATCAGTATAGCGTGGGCGCATATTAAAAAGATCTGCCAACTTTCATACTGTATATATTTGTACTTGGGTTTTGGCCACCAACCATCCAGCATTGAAAGAGCGCAACAGCAGCATTTGTTTTCTTGCTGGCAAAATATTAGAAAACAATTGGTAACCTAGGGCGCATTTTGAAACAAATGAGTGATCTGGAAGGCTTTATCTGCCTTGTAACGGTGTCAGGGAGATAGTTTACTGAAATGGAAAGAATGTTGTTTTCTTTTACAAGTGTGTGCGTCTGCCTGCCTGCCTGATTATACGTGTATGGGAGGGGGTATGCATTCCCTTGTGGAAGACAGGGGCTCGTAATCTTGTTTGCTGTTACTGGGCACAAATAGGAGCTTTGTTTTCAGTTGAACTTTACCCGGTTAGTGACTTATTCTGAAACCTTGATCTGTTTGTAGAATATTTGAACATCAGTGCCAAAATGGGTCTTGGAACGTGCAGCATATAGTCATGAGAAAGTATTCTGTGAATCCAGTTGCTCTTCCAAGTGGAAATGACTACGTGATGCTTTTTGAGCATTAGCTTGAGTTCTTCAGAACCTTACATGGCGGTTAAAATGCCGTTGTCTGTGCTGCTGCAGCACCAGTTTTGGTTTGAAATGTAACCCTGAAAATGGTTTTAAAATAAGTTGCTTCTTTAAATTTAGTACCTTTTTAGAGCCTCCCAGATTTCTGCATTTGATCTTTACTACATTAATAAGATGTAGAATATAGACTGATTTCTTTTTAAATTCAGGTGTGTTTTTCCTTTGCTTAGACTTAATAAGTTGTAATAATTTGACTTGCTTGAAAAAGAAAGCACTGAAACCAAAATAACTGTGGTAAAGATATTGCTTGTAACTTGGAGTCCAGCTGACAGAATGGATCAAATCTTTTCCCCCAATGCTGCTGTCTCTTTATGATTTCCAGAATGTTTGTAAGTTAAAACTTGTACGTATCCTTCTGCCATGGGAGTGTATTTCTTATATATATACATTTTTACACAGTTCTTCCATCTTTTCTGTCCCCTGTCAATTCCCCCTTTCCTGCATTGATGGAAGTTTTATTTTTCCCCTCCCTTTATGTGTTAAGCATTGATTTGATTGTCCTTCCCTTGCTTGTTCCAAGCACCTGTGGTTATAGGATTGATTTCTGTGTTTGCTAGTATAGCATTGAATATAGATTTGTGGCTGAATCCTGTAGCTGGAGCCACAGGGGTGGATCCTTACATCCACATGGAGTCAGACTGACACCAGGGTGCAAGACTGGCACATTGGCCTGAAAGAATAGAAAAGCTTCTTTAAAAAAAATCCGTCTAGTACATTCATCAAACTGATCAACCCAAATACAGACTGGAAATGACAGTGTACTGCCCATGCATGGAGAATGCTACAGGGTGCTGTAGGATTAAGTGGAGCATTTCCCTTTTAGCAAGAATGGAAAGGAAATAAATTCTAATAAGGAATCTAGGAAAAAACAAGATGTGAGTAAATACTGGAAATGTTTCCTTATTATAGGAATATTACCAACAGCAATCTGCTTATGCTGCCAGAAATGTTGAATTTGAGCTTATAAAGGGAACTGTAGTTACATGACTGCTGTCTCAAAGTTACTTTGATCAAGAGTTGTTTTGCATTATTTAAAATACTGAGTAATGAAGAAAGCAAGCTCTGATTCAGGGAGCTTCTTTTAGATTAAGAGGAGTTGTTAATGAGTTCCTATCCCTGTGAGGAGTTGTGGGTGCCGCCTTTTGTTTTTTTTAACCCGCAAGAAACTATGGCAAGCTTGTGAGAAAAATGCGTTACCTTAAACGAGCACCTCTCAGAACCCAATAGAAACCATGGATCGCTACTAGTTGTACTCAGCTCACTGAAGCTGTAGGTAGTAAACATTTTAAACTGACACTGCCACCGAAAGAAGCAGCCCCACTCTCTCCCTGCCCTTGGGTTTTCATTTCTGCCCTTGTGTCCACGCGTGTGCCGCTGCCTGGTGAGCTGGATGAGGAGGTTAGGTTAAGTGGGCTGGGAAGAGTACCTTTCTTTTTGTTTGCCAGATTATTTTCTGTTTGAATCATTTCCGCCGTCTGGTTCATCACATAGCGATGCCAATGCTTTTGCATGGGTAGGGAGGACAGAGCAGGGGCAGGTATCAACAGGCAGAGGGTGGATTTGCTATTTTTGGCACCAGTGCTGACATCTGCCTGCTAAAGGGATTGCCAAACTTCAGCAATTGTCCTTTCCATTTGCTATAGAGGCTGCTTCCTGCAACCTGCAGAAGTGTTAGTTAAATACTGATACTTTTAAAAGCTTTTGTTGTTCTGTGAAATTCAATTATAGACAAGAAAAACTATGAAACTAAAGGTTTATATTGTCATATTAAAATCTGTGTTCCAGGGTTCTGTATCTTTGCATTGCTATCAATATATGGGCTTATTCCCATCAGCACATTAGTAACTATGTCTGTTGAATGTAGGTGCAGCAGCAAGAAGAGGAGGAGAAACCACTGACTTCATCAAATCCAGTGCTGGAACTTGAACTGGCAGAAGAAAAGTTACCAATGACCCTTTCCAGACAGGAGGTAAAATCAGTCATCAGAAACAGACTGCCTGAGTTTACAGCAAATGCATCTGAAATTTCTTGTTAGGGCTGTTTTTTTCTAGTGAACTGTACTTTTTATGGCAGTTTGTATTAAATAATAAGCCTCAATTTTTACAGTCAACAATTAATGATCATCTTCGCTCATCAAGGATCTGGTGTCCAACTGAATGCATAGGGAGGTACAGATGGGTAAAGCCTCTGTCATATGGATTTGCACAGATGCGCCATAACATTTTACAGCTCTTTCAGATGAATTCTAGAATAGTACCCTGAATATCAGTATTATCCTTGGATAATACTGAAGATGGCATGCTGACTTTTTCCAAGATTTTTTTCACCAAGCTGCTTTTCTTTGTAGCTCTGAACCCAAATTTAGAAACTAAGGTTTGGAAGTTCACCTTCATTTCTAGAAGAAAAGGTCCTGAAGCCAGAGCAGCTGGTGTGATCTTTGTCCTTTCTAAGAATAAAAATACCTATGTGAATGTGAGGTCACGAACAGATCTATACCCCAAAGCAGAAGAGAAGCAGGAAGTTCAGAAGTACAGAATAAATTCTAATCTTGGAAATATTGAAATTCACAGCTGAGATCATCCAAGGATGTCACATGTCCCCTTAATTTTGCAAGATACTTACTATTTGTAACAGGAGTATGTCACAGGGCTTGTAATGCGGGCTGTTGGTTTCATGCTTGGTTTGAGGTTTGGTCTGTATGTCCTGTGTAATGCTCAGTGTCTCACTGCTGTTGATCTACTTGGGTGCATGTTTTGGTCGAGGTTTAGGTGTTGCTGTGCCAGCGCTCTGTCCACCCCTGGTTTTGTGATACGTTTGCAAGTCAAATGCTTGCCAACATACAGCAAGACACTTGAACTGAATAAACGAATTAATGGCTGAATTCATTTAGTTTCTTGTTGTCCAACCAGTCTATTGGTATAACAAAGTGGTGGCATGAAATGAAGTGTAAGCCCTTCTCTTGATCACCAAAGTATTGCATGGTGATTCATATATCAATATGAATTGATATGCTAAATGAGTAATGGTAAGTATAAAGAGATTTAGAAGCAATGCATGAGAGAAGGAATCGGGAGAAAAAAGTTCGGGTTTTGGCTCTGCCCATGACTTTGCAAATCAGCCGAGGGAGGATGTTGGACCTCTTATATCTAGTTTTGAAGTAACTATCACATTAGATTATGGGACTTAATATTTGCCAAATGCTTAAGGATGACAATTTTCAGCAAATCAATCTTGCAGATGTGCTGGGACAACCTGCAGCCTAGTTAGGGAGTGTTTTTATTGCCCTGGACAAGTAGGTGAGTGAGATTATCGTCAAGTTCCTTCGTGATTTTGAAAACAGTTTAAGTTCTGCCAGAGGGATAATTTTTGTGTATTTGTTTAAACAAGTCAGAGCAGGAAAAAGTTAGGCTATACCAAGTGGCTTGGGGTTTTATGCGATATTTAGATTGGTAATATTTGGAATGGCCTTTCACTGAAATACCGTGGGAGTTTTATATTTAGATTGTAAAGTGTCTGGAACATTTTTCTACTGCTTAAAATATTGCCATTTCCTCTCCAGTCCAGCTCAGCTTGTTATTCTAAGCAAAGTAAACAAATCCGTAGTTCTGGATTTTATTTTGCTTCCTTTACGAGTTTGCGTAATGGAATCCTTTGATTCTTTTCAGGTTATCAGGAGGTTACGAGAGAGAGGTGAGCCGATCAGACTGTTTGGAGAAACAGATTATGATGCATTTCAGCGTCTGAGGAAGATAGAAATTCTTGCACCTGAAGTGAACAAGGTAAGACTGGATAGTTACTAGTTACTTATTTGTAGCGGGATAACCAATGAGGAACCCTATACAAGTTACAGAAAATCAGTTTCAGTAACTGTTACTTTTTAGGAGGGAGGGGTAGTACAGAGCAAAGAGGAAGATCTGCTCTGTCTCATTTACTGCCTGAGAAAGTATGTTAAATGTCATAGTTTTGTGCACAATTACAATTCCTTGTGTTAGACAGTTCAACCCTAGAAACCTTCTAGGCCTTTTCAGTTGAAAAAGGGGCCTCCTGGTGGCAGTAATACCTCAGCCTGTGCTGTTACCTGCTTTTTAACCAGCAGAAAAGACAGTCATTTACTGTTAAAACTGTCCTGTGTTTGTGATTATATGCGTCTCTGAGAAGGTACGGGTAAGAGAGAGGAGGATTGCATCCTATCTTTCTGGTATGTAAATGATTTTTCAAATCATTTGATTCCAGAGCTATAACTTGTTAGGGAAACTTGATTTTCCCCCCTTGCCTTTAAAGTAGCCATTGATTCAAAAAATGCTAAAAGATATATCACAGTTTGCCAATTTATTCCTTTTGTCTTAAGAATTGATCAGTTAAGTGAGGAGATGCAATTCAGCTTTGGATTGTCTTCCCTAATTTGTGGCAAACTGAATTGTTTGAAATGTCTTTGCTGGGACTGCCCAGAAAAGGAAAACCTTTTCCTGTTCAAGTCTTTTAAAAAAGGATAAACAGATCTAAACATTTAAAAAAAAATAATTCTGCTAATGAAAGCTTCCCCTCCAGTGACATCAACGACAGTAGTAGGAGTATTAGGAAATAGTGAGCTCATAAATAGGATTGTGTTGGATTTTTGTGTTATATGTTTCAGTCACTCCTGTTGCTATGTGTTGCTTAAAATGTAGATAGCTGCTATAACCAGTTTGTGGTTCAGACGTTTTTAGACTACTGAATGATTAATAGAAATGCTCTAGACAGTCAAGTATGATGATGGAAGAGGGGAAATAACTGTGCATATCTATTCCCATGGAGTGGCTGAATTTATCTTAGGGTAAGAAATGTCATACTCCTTTATAGAGCTTTATATTTTATGTCTCAAGGTAAGAATGCAAGTCCTCTAACTGTGACTAAGCTGAGTTTCTTGTTCTATTTAAAAGCAGCTCTTAACTTTATATATATGGTTTCAAACTGATTCTAATTTTTTTTTAATCACCTATTCTAGAGTAGGGGATTTTAAACACCTAATCTATATAAAACATTCTGCTATGTTTAAATCATTGCTAATAAAGGGAAACTACATAAATGTTTTATGTGATAGTACTGAAGGAGTGTTACTTACCTTATTTACAGCTTTTTTCAGGGCAGATGTGAAGACTTGTAGAGCTGATGATGGTTATGGTCTGTTTTCTGTTTGTTTTGGGGTGGGTCGGTGCATTGCTTGGAGAAAACATCTTGAAGAAAGTCCTAGAAGTTGATTCAGTCCTCTGTGCTTTTCTCACGAAAATATGGTAAAAAGCCTTTTTCACAGGTATGAACGCTGCAGAAGTTCATGCACCTGCTTTTTGTTAAGTGCTGAAGCAATCCAGAAACTGTTTTTTGAATTCAGTTTAAATTCAGACAACAAAGCTAAACCCTTACGCATGTTTTTACAGAATTTGGCTTTTCTTAAACGGAAGTTGGATGCTCACGGTGACAGTGCTGAACTGCTTTTACTTGAGTTTTTTTTTGTAAATTAGTCATTTCTTATCTTTTCCAGGGCCTGAGAAATGACCTGAAGGCTGCTTTGGATAAGATTGACCAGCAGTATCTGAATGAAATTGTAGGCGGCCAAGAAGCAGGAGACGATGACTCACAGAATGACTTGAAAGTCCATGAGGAGAATACCACTATTGAAGAACTAGAAGTATGTGATGGGTAGATTTTAATTAAGGGATTTTAGCTGTAGTGCATTGTTCTGAGAAAGCTTCAGGATTGTTTAGACAAAGTTTTGATCTTGTTTTCAACATCTAGCTTAGGCATTCTGAAGTATCCTTAAATATGCTCTGTTAGGAAATAGAGGTTTCTAAGCCTTGAGTTGCACCATAGGTGCCTGCAGTAGGCATGTGAAAACTCAAGTGGTCTTTGTTTATAACACCTCATCAAAAAGGGGGCGGGAGTTGCCTGCAAGGAAAGTGATACAGTTAGGATTCCTTCTGCAGGGGGTTTGGAAGTAGAGAATTTAATAAAAATGCATTACCTGGTCATAAATTCTAAAGCCTTTCCATTGAGTATTTGAGAGGGTAATAAGCTTAGTACTGATGAATTTTTCCCTATACAAGAAACATGGACTCTGAAAAATAGACACGCAGAAAGAATGTTTGATATAAAAAAACATCCAGGACAAAAGAAGCGGACATCAGAAGTAGGCAGATCACAGGAAATACAACAAGTGCAGAGACGATGTGTTGCAGAATCAGTGCAAATGGCTACTATGTTCTGAAAGAATACCACGGTATTTGTGTAAGCGAGCGGAGCATGAGTGCCATGAAACGCATTCAGCACCTGGTATTTTAGGGTAGTGTTTTGAAAAACACATTAACTTGAGCTGAAGACTTTTACCCTTAATCTTCAAAACTCTTTGCAGGAGTTAATCTTCATAACATCCTTCCAAAAGCGTGTTTAAGAAATAATCTGATTTATAACTGAAAGCTTAAACGAATACACATTATTATTAGGAGATAGTCTTTGGCTTTTTTGTTAGGGTACCAGGGGTTCTGGTTTAAAATAACTGGAGTACCAGAATGGATACCAGTTGTAATGGGGCTGCATTTTATCCATCTGTTAGTTCTCAAAATACCCCCTTTTTGGGGTAGTAGGGCAGGCTTGGTTTGAGCTATGAAAGTAATCATTTTCTGAAAAGTTTGAAAACAATGCAGTCTTAATTTTATGCTACTTCAACTGCATTCCCTTGAGCATAAAGGCTTACACTGAATTGGGTTCCAAATCTAGGAGATTTTTTTAAATAAAGCTCACTTTGGAAATGTGAGGACAATGGAAATAGATTATAAATCCAACTATATCTACTGGAAAATGTTTCTAAAAATTCCTAGTATTGCTAAAAATTGTTAGTATTAACAGTTTCAAGGTTTTGGCAGGAAGCTAGAGTATTGGAGCATACTGCTGGGGTTTTTTGGTTTGGGTTTTTTTTTTTTTTTTTTAGATTTGTTCCCTCAATTTCACAGTTGCGATTAAATGAAATGGTAAAAAGCCTCAGTACATCAGGGAATTGAAATAGATTAACAAAATAATTAGGTTAATTGACGGCTTTGGGGATCTTAAAAAAAATGCAGTGCACCCACAGTTCCCTTTAATACAGTGCTGTCAGACAGCTGCTGATTATGCCAATAATTTAGTAGTTAATGAATGAAAAATTACTGTTGCATTGACTTTTCAGAAATAATCATATTGGCTTTTTGACTTAAATGTTTTTAATAGATTAATGAATCTCAGTAGCATATATAGCTGTTTCATTCCGTTTCCTAACTAGTATTTTGGTTTACTGGTGGAGTTTATTACAGTTCACGATGCAGTGAATCATGCTCTGCTGTGGTGGTGGGGGCAAATTTCTAGACAACGTGGAAATAATTGCCTTTTTTCTCCTGTTCTAGGCTTTGGGAGAATCCTTAGGACGGGGTGATGATCACTATGATATGGACATCATAACGAAGTTCTTGAAGGTAACAAACTCTAATAGATTAATTATTCTGTAGTTGTGTCATTTTTTACTATGATGCAGATACATTTCGTGAATAGAAGGGACGGTTTCAGCTGCTTGGAGAGAAAAACTCACACATTATGCTTAAGATGTGGGGTTTTTTAAATGCTTGGCACTCCACAGCCTTGGTTAGTCACAATAGTGACTTCTGCTAGACTTGGGAAAGGGCTGTTGGGAGAGCAGTGTTCTTCAAAATCTGGTCCTGCTTTTCCAGACAAAATAAATATGGTTTTGATTTCCGTATGATAATCAAGGCAGTTGTATGTAGTTGCTTCTATGTACTACTATGGCATTAAAAACTTCCGAGGAGTCCCTGCCTCCCTTCCCCAGGAACAGTACAAGCTGAAATGAAATATCACCTGGTACTGTTATGTGAAAGAAGAGAATTTTAAAGGAAGTCCACTGGCTTTGCTAAGGAAACAGGTTCAAGCGGATAGCAGAAAATTGTTTCCTTGTTTCCTGGCAAGAAGCCTGTATTGCCTCTAATTTGAGTCAGCTGGTCCCTCTGTAACTGTTGTGATGATCAGAAGTCACAGCAAGAGTGGAAGCTTTTATTTGTGTATATAAGATACATTGGCATTTTAATATAGTTTGGGCTGGGCAGTCAGACAAAGAAAGCTCAGGAATTGTTTTCCAGGCGGAGAGAAGGTACATTTGACATGTTTGCCTTCTGGCATGTTGAGTTTTCACTGTGATCTTCACCATTCCTTAGGCTCCTTTGCAAAAATTGCTCTGAAACATCAGTGTTTTCTACTTAGATTTCTGCTCTTTTTATGTACCCCTCCTCCCTCCCAGCACTGATACCTACACTTGTTTCCTTCGGGTTTTTTTTGTATGTGCCTTTTTTTACATGCTCTACCCTCACCCACATGTTTTTATGATAGGAGGGTTGTTCCTATCCCTCCTTGCCTATCCTTCTGAACGAGGCTTCTTGCCTTTTTAATTCAGATTTCTCTGAAAAACTCATTTTGCCATGGTGGGTTGAACCACTGTTCCCATCTTTTTTGCCGAGGAAGTCACTAGATGGCACTATAACATAAATTTGCTTGTTCCTCATACAGTTTCTTCTTGGAGTTTGGGCTAAGGAGCTGAATGCCAGAGAAGACTACGTGAAACGGGGCGTACAGGGGAAGCTGAACAGTGCCACTCAAAAGCAGACAGAATCGTACCTGAGGCCACTCTTCAGAAAACTTCGGAAAAGGGTGAATCACTTTTAAATGTCACTACCCTGTAAGACTTACTTTAACTTCTGCTTTCAAAGTACCCAGTGGTTAGTGCCCTTTCCTGAGGTAATGTTATCTTCACTGAAGAAGAGAGAAGTGAGTTGGTCAGGGTTTCTGTGTCTAGAGCCCATGACTCTCAGTTCTGACCTTTTAATCTTGATCAGTGAATTCTTCTGCCTACCCACTGCTTTTCCAGGTGTTGCTTTATGTATCACCTGTTCATAGGGTTGCAAATGTGATAGAGAGTTGGGATTTTATTTTGCACTTTGCCACAAGCTGCTAGGTGTAACCACTTAACCTCTCTTGCTTCAGATCCTTCATCTAAATAACAAATATGTTTTCCTTTGTTAAAGTCCTCAAGCTAGAGTAGGTGCTAAACTTTGTATAAATGCTGAGTAGGATGATTTTCCTGAGCTGCTATTCTGAAGTAAAGATGTCTTTTTTTTTTTTTTTTCCCCTTCTGCTTCTCCTGTAGACACTTCCTGCAGACATCAAAGAATCAATAACAGATATTATTAAATTCATGTTGCAAAGAGAATATGTGAAGGTAGGTTTGTGTGCACTCTTCCGCCATGTTTGGGCTGTCTGGTTCTAATAGATTGAGTTTATTACTTCAACATTTCCCATTTTTTTTGCATTTTGAAGATACATAGCTGGCAATACACACAACATATATTCAAACAAAATGAAAAATGGCTATTAAAGGTTGGGCTCCAGGTAATGTTTGATCCACAGCCTGTCAGAAGATCTTTTGAGGCTGGTGAAACTGCAGAGCTTTGTAAGCACAAATAGAATTTTTCTCAGAGATGGTTATATTAAGTTGCAGAGGAAACCTGTATGGGAAACCTGATATTGTAAGGTTAAATGGAGGTATTGAATTAATAGTAATAGGGTGTTGATTAATTAATTAGGAATTAATAGAGGTGAACTGAGTTATTGAATGTGAGACACTGTCCCTTTCTTTGGCTATGCTCACATTAGCTGGCCTGGCAAGGTTGAGGTAAGTTAATGAAAAGTTTTTTTGGACAAAGTATGCTTACTGGAGGAGGCAGAAGTACTTTGGCACACAAGATCAAAGGCAGTGTTAGGTTTTGTTTGTAGCTGCCTTCAGAAGTGGAACTCAAATATCGATAGCATTTGCTTAAGCAGCTTGTGTATGCAGAGGAAATTGAGCCATGTCTTGCCTTTAAATTTCTAGTATTTCTTATTATTCTTCTGAGGACTTGGGATAATTTGTCAAGTAAGCAAGCAAACCTGCTTTTGTTACTGAAAAAACTTCAGATGGCCTAAGGCCAGTTTAATCCAAATCATTTGAAAGTAGAACTGAAAGTGTGGGATGTATGATGGTGGGGTTTTGTTTTGGAGCATTTTTTTTTCTTTTGGTTGTCATCATTATGTTGAAATTCCCTTCCCAGTGCCTTCTCAAACGAAGTAGTGAGTGTGTGGTAATGCGGTCTATCTTGTGGGTTAATCTGCTGTGCCTCTCTCTCCTGGAGGTGCTTGGCTTTATGTAAACTTCACAGACTGATTTTGGAGGAGTTGAGTACAGATTTGAAAGTTTTGGGTTTGTTTTTTTTTTAATTAGGCTAATGAGCCTTGTGCTTTTAAAGATACTCATATCCTTTTCCATTTTGCTTCCTAAGAGACTTGTCTCTCTTTGCCTGCTGTTGTCTTCCGTGTTTTTTTGCTTTGTGCAGCCCAGTGAATACCGTCAGCCACAAATTCTTACTGTTTGTTAGATGAAATGCTCGAAAGATTTAAATTTTGAAATCAACATGTGATGGTAGGCAAATGCCAGAATAGAAGTTGTCCGCTCAACCTTAATTAACCCTGTTGTGACAATCCCGGAAGGGTCTTTAATTGCATGTTCACGTACTAGGTTTCATCAGAAAACCGTATTTAAGTCAGTAAGTAGGTATTTGACAAAGACTGTTCAGATCCTGCCTCATGTAGGTGCAGGCAAAGTCAGGTCCCTTCTTCAGGTTTACTCTCAGCTCTCTCTGCAATGTCCTGCCTTGTTCATTATTCACCTCCCGGTTTGCTCCCTGCCAAATGGGAAGAAACTGTACCCACTGGTCATGATGGCTACTTCTTGTTGATTAGTCTCTAAATGGGAGGTGATAAATGAACTCTTTATCAGCGAGTCTTGTGGCTGCTCACTAACAGTGGAGGAATGTCCTGCTCCAAGTCCTTCTTGAAGCTGTGTTTCTGTGACTGCATATATGTGTCTGTCCCCCTCACTTCCCGGTTCTCAGTTGTCATCGTTTTTTTAAGCTCTGTACTTCTCTTCCTTTCTCCGTGTCTTTCTGTTCATTTTCCCTTCAAGTTTTATTGCCGTTCTTCTCCGGGGATGTTGTCTGCTACAGCTTTATGTTAAGAAGCAGGATCTGCTATCTTGATTAGGAAATTTCAGGTTCTTTTGCTGCTGCTGCTGCTGCTCTGTTCATAAACATTGTTACAAATGTGCTTATTTAACCCAGTTTTGTAGAGAGCTGGTTCTCAGCCTCACTGGAAGCTAGGTCCTCTCCCTGAGAGATGTCAGGTGTCAGGCCCCAGTGCCCTCCTGTGTACCGGGTGACCTCAGTTCTGCACACACGTCGTGGGCCTGCAGTGGGTTGCGCTTACAGCCAAGCTCCCTGGTCTAGTCGGCAACCGAAACGGCAAGGGTTGTAAAGGTGATTACAGCAGAAAAGCTTACGGGAACCTGAGAAGGCTGAGCTGAAAATAGTCCCAGTAAACTTTAGTTTTAACCAATATTAGACTGCCTTATCCAGTGCTTTCTTTCATCAGGTAAAGTCCATAGTCCTTGCTTCAGCATAAACATGAATCGTGTTAGGAAGGTGTGTTGTAAAATTGGTTAGTATTGTGCAATGAAACCCGATGCAGAGAGACTGGAACATGTGGTGGTGTTGTATCTGGCAATGCAAAGATGCTCTGCTTTCCGATGCCCTTTCTGTTCTGCTAAGTGTGCATGCACTGTATTCCTTCAGGCAAATGATGCTTATCTTCAGATGGCTATTGGAAATGCTCCCTGGCCTATTGGTGTCACTATGGTTGGCATCCACGCTCGAACAGGTCGTGAAAAGATTTTCTCCAAGCACGTAGCCCACGTTCTCAATGATGAAACTCAAAGGAAGTATATTCAGGTAACGTTAGCTTTGGAAATCCAACAGATTTGCTTTTGAAGTTAGGGGATCTTTGAGAAATACTGGTTTCATAGTTACAGGTGATGCGGTAAAAAGGTCCTAGAAATGGAGAGTTGCCTTAGCTTGGGTCAAGCATGACATCCGTTTAATAGGTAGCTCATCCTGGACCTGAAGGCTCTTCAGTGCTGGGCTAGGAACGGAGTCTAATGGATTTTTCTATGTCTTAACTATTGTGATCCTGTATGAACACCAAAGTGGTTGTGAAGACATGCTTTATTCTCCTGAGTTCCTTCACTGCTCAACTCATGGTTTTAACATCACGTGTGGAATTTAATACTGTGGACTACAGTCCTTCTGACTATTTCTGCAACTAGATCAGTGCGTTCATTTTTCAAACATGTTTCTTCAACAGTGTGGGCTCAAAATTCCAGGTTCAGTTCCTCCTGTGCATATTCATACTCGTGTCGTGAACTTCTGTTGTTTGTGGAATTAATAGCAGTGGTGTTTTTCTTCTCTGATGTTTCAGTGTAACAGGTGGACGGGTCTGAGGAAACAAGTATTCTCTCCTTGTATTGTTAAATGTATCTGCCTCTTGCCAGTTGCAGTTCCATTGAGATAAAGACCTTCTGGCTTAACTCTGAAGCCTCCAGAGCAGCATCGTGGAGCTCAGAGCTTCTGGCAGGATCTTGCTGCTGCGGCAGAAGGACTCCCGTTGCTTTTCAACTTCTGCAGCTGTCTGCAAGCGGATTGCTTGTAAAATGCAACTTCTCCTTCTACCTTGAGTTTCTTTGTATTGGGGCTACAAGTGTAACCTTTGGTTTCTCTTCAACTATAGTTTTTAATATCATAACCTGTGAAAATGTCATCATGAAGTCAGAGGAAGCTCCAGACACTTACAGAGCCAACAAATTAAATTTGACCACCTTTTGTAAGGTGAAAATTGGCACGTGGATTATGTATCTTCAGAGACAGGCTCCAGTTAGTGTAATACTTACATGGAAGTATTTAAGGGATGAAATAGCTTATGTTAACCAAACAGTTTTGTTGTTAGTTTGTATTAAAAAAGGAATTTGGACTCTGAAAGAAGTTTGTTGTGGGCCTCAGCATGGCCATAATGCTGCTTCTCCAACTTTGGTGTATAGTTGGCCATCTGTGTCCACTTGCCAGTCTTGAGCAGAAAGATCTCTACCCTGTAGCTTGAGCTCTCTTAGCGTGCCCTTTGGAAGATACAATGTATATGAATTCCTCAGTTTGTCCCTTACCTGCTTTTGGGGTTACATCTGTCGGTCAAGGAAATCTTCGTGTTCATCTTCCCACTGTAAATTTCATATCTGTGCTTCTGAATTACACAACTTACTGAAGCGCCAAGACAGAGTTGGCTTTAAACATTTTCTCCGTGTTGGTTTTAAATACCAGGTCTTGTTTAGCTAGTCTGGTTCAAACTGGAGCATGGAATATTATCTGTGCTCCCAGCAGTTATACGAAGCTAACATGTTTCTGATTTACAACGGACCTGGGATCGTTACATCCCAAACAAGGAGTCATTGTGGTGCTAGGACATGTTTTCCAGACTTGTCTGCATTGGAAAGGCCAAAGCATCCTCTGTTGAATCATTTTTCCCTTTAGCAAGGAGCCATCTTCTATCGTTAGCATCTAATGACAGGCACATGGCTCGGCCATCTTGGGAGTACAGTGTCACTGCTAAATTACATTACTGCCGCAGCAGTTTTCCTTCTTCTTTGTTAGACTTTTATGTGTGACTTGAAAGAAAGTAATCACTGGGTTTCTGTCACGTTGTTTTTTGGCAATCGGTGCCTTGAAAGAACTGAAGAGAAAAGTCAACATTCTGCCTTTCTTCTTGATTACTTCTTCAGTTTGCCTCCACGTGTAGGTCAGGTGTGGTGCCACAGTGGGGAGGAATGACACCTCTCCTCCAGAGAAACCGTTCGGTTCTTTTTGTAGCTGTGCAGCTTGTTTTGGTGTCAGAAATAGCTTTTTGCTCTACAGAACTACTTTTAATATTCAGGTTTTTTTAAATATCTTTTATTGTGATAGTATTGTTTTCTCCCTTGGTGGGGAGGAGGGATTAAAGCATTACTGTGATTCTTCACTATGAATCTGTCATGAGGGACTGAATCTGTAGTCTCTTCGGTTATGCCACAGACTCTCTCATATTGGAGATAACTTGGCACTTTGCAGGCAGAAAGGTTCATAAAACTTAAAAACTGGAAAAACAACCAAATAAAAAACAACAACCCCAAAATAGCAGCCATTTGTTTTGAATTCTTCTTGTTCAGCTTAAAAATACTGTAGACTGTTAAGTCGGTTTGACAGCTGCGGTTTTATTACAGAATTGTCCTTGTTTTGTTAATTCCTAGGGGCTGAAGAGGCTCATGACCATTTGCCAGAAGCACTTCCCAACAGACCCATCGAAATGTGTGGAGTACAATGCTTTATGAGGCTCTGCAGTGTCCAAGGCGCGACTCACATTTTCGTCTCCAAGACCCAGAGAGGATTGAAGAGACAGACTTTGTGCTTTAACACCAACAAGAACCTAGGGTGGGCTTTGCGAAAAAGCATAAAGCCGCAGATTTCTCTACAGCTTCCTTTTTACGAGCCCCATTTATTTAGATTTCTTTTTAAATCTATGCTTTACGCTGAACACATCCAATATACAGAAGGGGGGGGGTTGAAGGGGGTATGACCAGGACAATGACCAGGGGACAATGAACAAGACCCTTGCTTTTATTTCAATTTGTTATTCAGGGAACCATACAGACTGAACTGTTTCCCGTATCATAGAGCTTTAGGTGAGACCCAGCCCTGCAAGGAGCGTACGTGGAGTTTTTTGGCTGCTTTCCCATTGGAGACTGATGTGGGGAGATGATTTGAGTGAAGCAGTCAAATCTGAATCTTGGTTATTTCTGTAAATATGGAGACTTTTAATGGCTAATCTTTCATGTGGTATTTATCAGGAGGGGAAAAAAAAAAGAGTTTATATATTTCTCAGCTGAAAAATACAGCCAGTCTTGGTGCAAAGAGTTTTTGATCTTGAATACATCTGATTTGGCTTTTTTTTTTTTTTTGTAATGACATTTTTAATATAAACCTTCTGGGCTTGGGGGAAGTAATCTTATGGCTCTAGAGGCTTTCAAATCCCATTTTTACACATCTGGAGAAAATTTCAGTGTGCTGGGCATTGCAGAGAAAATAATTAGGACCTCCCATGACCACATACAGTATTTCTAGCAGCCACAAATCTTTACCATTGTGCATCTTGACTGGGAATGGCGAAGAAACTCACAGAAACGATGATGTCTAATTCTGCATAAACAGTGAAATACTGAAACTTTGTTAGTGGTGCTGGTTGAAAATCTTAGGCTGAAATCATGCGCTTTTTTGGTGACAAGAACAGCAGTACCTCTGCAGCAGTATTAACGTGTCCTTCTCTTAAGGAGGCCTTTCTAGGACCGACAGTGAAGCTCCAAACAAATCGTTGATCCCTGCAGTGGCTGCTAATAACTGACACTACCCACATTCGAGAGAAGCCCGACCTCACGTCTGTCTGGCCCCGCAGATCCAGCAGAGCCGGCACAGAGCCCACTCCTCTGCCTCTGGAGAAGCCTTTTCGGTGCAGTCTGGGGAGAGGGGAGGGTCCGGTCCTCGCTGCCCAGGGTTGGAGTCGGGCAGGTATTCGCATCTGGTATCCTGCTACCGCCTCTGTGAGGCAGCAGGTCTTCTGGTACGTCTGGTGCTCGTGGGCTGTGGAGTGGGAAGCGTTTTGCTGCCGCAGCGGTAGCAATGTGAGCCGAACCACTTCCTGAAGAAACGTGTTAATATGCAGTGTACCGGTTTGTCCGAGTCCCCACCTCGGCTGGAAGCGTGGAGCAGGAACGGGTGCCCTCCTCTGAAGGAGTTACCTGTCTCCCGTGGGCGTTGACAGTGCCCATGGCACTGAGAGACGTGATGCTGGGGGATTCGTGCTGGCAGTGAGTTTGGAGGATTATCTTGAGGAACTTCAGGTTCTTCTGGAGACACTCTCTATTCTGAAGTGCCTCTTTGGACACAGGAGTTTTTCAGTCTGGAGCGTTTGACCCCAGAGAAAATGTCAAGAGCTTAAACAGTTTAGAAGTAATAAAAACGAGGCTGGTGAGACCGAACCGGCGCTTGGGGAGGGGCCTTTGGGGAATAGAGGGGACTTTGTGGGGAGAAGCTGGGCGGATGTCAAGAGTGTGGAAGAGTTTTGTTAACAGTGGTGTCTGGTGATTTTTTTGCAGTGCTCTATACAGATATTCTTTGGAGGCATTATTACAACAGGAAACATTTATAACACCGCAGCTTTATCCCTCTCCCCACCCAGATGATTTCCTAAGTCTTCGTCCTGACCTTAGTTTTGAACTCTTTAAGTAATTGAGGGACAATATTGTCCCTCATTTAGAAAAGCTGTAATTTCCCTGGAAAGTGCAGCAAGTGAGTAGCCAGGGGATGGTTTAAGGAGCACTGGAACATCTGCTTTAGAGGGAACTGGATTCCTTAGGGCATCTGCAATAGTATTAGATAGATTCCCCCCCCCCCCCCCCCGTTTTAATGGTACCCTGAGCACCAGTTTGAATGGGGATGCGTCTCCTGTAGGGACGTGAATTTGGGGTTGGAATGTTTTAGTCTGAGCAGGTTTTAAAGAATGTAATTTAAGCAATGTGCCTCCTTGCTGACAGTCCCTGAAATACAGCCGCCTTGCTTGAATGAATCCCCTGACGGAAGAACTTTATCCCCTTGCAATTCATGGAATGGCGCTGCACGGGGAACTGAGGAACTGAGAAGTACTTTCTCACGGCATATCTGTGTAAGAGTTTCCAGCTGTCCGGCACGTGAGAGCCAGCTTCGGTCCTCGGGGGATCGCAAGGGGGGGGACACTGTTACGGCAGCTGCTTTTCATCATTGGTTGGAGGCTCTTTGCAGCTGGATGGCCCCAAATTACAGCTACCAGACCATGATCAAATAGTTAATAATGCCTTTTAGCCAAAAAAAAAATATCCAAAACCCACCCGAGCCTAGTTTAGGGACGCGTGGGTGTGGCATGGCTGTCACACTGCTTGACAGTTTTTGTGGGGAGGGTATGTTTCAGTTTAGCAATTTAGCCTTTTCCCTCTGGGCTTCTCCAGATGTTTATTTCTGATAATTCCTGCATTAGGCGGAAATAACTCCGCTGAATCCAAAGACTTGTAGCCTTAGGATGAAGTCATGCGTTCACCGTAGCGATGTCTGGAGTCTTTTGGGGACTTTAGTGCCCCTGGTTGTCTGTTGCAGCCCCCCACTCCTTCCCTAGCCCGGCGGTGGAAGGGGCTGTGCGAGGTGGTGCGGTACCACGCGCTCTCAAAGTACACGGTTCCTGCCTGTTACCGGTATTACCGTGCCCAACGGTAGTTAAATGCCTTTATTTCCTTGTTTGCTATTTGTCTGTATTGCTGGAAAGGCTCTTGGGGTGGGCGTATGTGGGATCAATTTATTTTGATTGAGGAACCGGGTTCCTCTCCGGCTGGCTGCCGTATAATCTCCATTATAGATCCAGCCTTGCCCAAAGAATCAACCTGGCTGAGAGGTGAATGGCTTCACTTCTCAGGGGGAGGAGAGCGTCCCGGCTCCCGGGCCCGGGGCATGAGTACATGACGCGGTGCCCTCCAAGAAGGATGGCGCAAGGGTGTCGGTGCTGGTATCAAATCTGGAGGGGGCTGTTGGGAAAGCTGCTCCTGATGCGTTGTCGGGCTTGAAGAGGTGCCTGCGGCAGTATTGGAGCCACTGGCAATGAAGCTGAGCCAAAGTCCCAGAGTTAGGGGGACGTCTGAAAAATTTCATTGCCGTTTTGCCCCATCCAAACCCTTTTGGGGATTTACGACACCCAGCGATGCTGGGTGATGGTTGGGGTGGCCTGCTGGCTCCGGGTTGGTGCCGCTGGTGGCTCCCTGTGGCATGGGGGCGGATGATACAAGAGATGCTCGGGTGGAAAGGGAACAGACAGTGGGAATAAATGGACAGAACGGGAAACAACTGTGCTGGGTATGGTCGGGGGCCTCCTGGCTCCGGGTTGGTGCCGCTGGTGGCTCCCTGTGGCATGGGGGCGGATGATACAAGAGATGCTCGGGTGGAAAGGGAACAGACAGTGGGAATAAATGGACAGAACGGGAAACAACTGTGCTGGGTGCCGGGAAGTGCGGACAGGTCCCACGTGGAGAGCGTGTGGCTGTTCAAAACTGCCTGCTATTTTGGAAGGGGTGCTGGGCGGCTGCAGGGGTCACCGCTGCCCACGGACGGGGAAACTGGTCTCAAGCGGCATCCCTAACCCCGTGCAGGGGCCGGGCTGCCAGCAAAGCCCCCTCCTGAGCCTGAGCAGCGTCTGTCGGGGTGGGTTCTCCTGAGCCTGAGCAGCGTCTGTCGGGGTGGGTTCTCGATGCTGCTGCCTCGGCAACAGGGATTAAACCAGGACGATGGGGTTTCTTCAGGAATTTAACCCAGCGAGCAGGCGGTTCCTTGGAGCGCGAGGGGTGAGTGTGCTGGCGCTCAAGCCTGTCCTACAGACCTTGGCATTGCTGCAAACAGCCTTGTAGCTCCTCAGCATCCAATTCGTATAAGCGAGCGTGAATTTTAGTTATTTCAAGTTACGCGTGTTAGCAGTAAATACTGTTTTCGTGACTTTGTTTCCTACTGTGGTGGTAGGTGTTGGGAAGTCAGTCACGCGGTGTCTTACTGCCCGAGATGCCGCCTGGGCCCCCGAGGCCAGTGCTCGAGAGAACACGCGACGGGGCGAGCAGGGATCTGCTGAGCGCGAGCACCGAATCCCAAGGGATCTCTGAAGGATGGGCTTTGCAGGGGGAATGCCCAGCATTGCCTGCAGTCAGGACCCCCGACAGCAAATGAGCGGGTCCCTCCCGGAAACCCTGGCCAGCTGCGCGCACATCTGGAGCGAGCATTTGGCAGAGGTGGCGGTGCGGTCGCCACGGTAAGGATTCCCCAGGCGCCGTGCCCTCCTGAAAAGACCACTGCAAGGTTTCATTTTGAAAATGCTTTAATAAGGAAGTGTTGACAACACCGTTTTGCAAAATGTAAAGGTAACTATACAAATTCTTAATACAAAAAGAATAAATTAAAAGCAGATCTTTTTTAATTCTGCAACTTTTTCTACAACATACATATTTTTTTCCTTGATTACAGTTGAACAGAATCCAGTAAAATCATTTTCCATGCTCTAAAGTCGATTTCAGGAGAGACCTAATTTTTTTCTTCCTTTTTTTTTTTTCTTTTTTTAAACTAGAGAGTTCATTTTACACAACTTGTAATAAAACTATTGACATTAATATATATGTAAAACTTTACATCTAGTTAACTAAGCAGTAACTGGTCATCTGATAGCACCTGAATGGGAATCGGCTACGCCTGAAACTAAAACTAATACAGAGTGAAAACAAATTGGACTGTTTCAACATTTTCAACACTCGATTGCATATAATATCATTTAAAAATAAACCCTGCCTCCCAGCGCGGCCCGGTGCGTAGACCGTACACCCGGCTCCCGGCTAAACAGAGGGAGCGTCCGCCATGGAGACTAAGAACGCAACTGTGGCTTTATGTCAGATGGAGCCTTGGAAAATAAAAAAGTAAAGGAGGGGTTAAGTTGGTAGTCAAGTGCTTGTATATAATAGCTATGTATATACCCCTCCGTGTTATACTTAAATATGTTAATCTCATGAGATTAACATTTTATGTACATTTGTGTTTAATTGAATTGAGCTAAACAGTAAAACCTGTTTTACTTAATCTGTCTTTACTACCAGACTGGCTGCTCACGTGTGCCTTGATTGCAAAACAGAAAAGCAGAACACAAAGCAAAACTCAATCCGTTTCTAGAAAGCTTTTTCTCTACTCGAGCCTGTTTGCAATTCAGGCTAACCATTTATTTTTTTTTCCCCTAATTTCAGGGCTGCCACCTTTTAACCTTTGCTGCAAAACTGCAGATCTGGTCTTGGAGGAATTAGTGTTTCTTCCTGCAGTGCCCAGAGG